GGCAATGTCGACACGATCGGCAGCGAGTGGTTGTTATCCACTCATTACAGCGTGCAGCTGAAACGTTGCTTTACTGAAATCACCGTAAGCAAGTTCCCCCTCCCCCGCGTTGAACGGCTTTGCTTTCAATTTACCGGGAACGGTGGCGAGCTCAGTTCAGTGATGATCAACCAGCGGCTCGCTTCTCTTTACATTAGCTGATGTTGTCTTCAGCGTTGGTGACCTTCCGGGCAAGGTACCCGAGGAAGGTCGAACGAGCCTCCGGTCGACGCAGTGCACGTACCTCCGTTTAACCTCCTTCGGTTGAGGCGCGGTGCCCAGAGTCCGACGCAGCTATTCGTCACGGACAGGTTCGCGCGGTCAAGCTTGCGATCATCGCGAAACAAGGTCACTCGCTTAACTTTGTTTTGCCACAGCTTCTCTAACGGCACTTTGTCGATCATTGCAGTGTGTATCTATGCTATAGCGTGTACGGGCATTTCCGAAATACAGTCTCATTGTTATGCGCATTGCCGGTGCGGTGTTTCTTTGAGGACGTACAGCGTTGCGAAGGGAGCTAGACCTTTTTATTCTTTCACCAACAACTGGCACTGTACACGTTCAATAAAAGTTAGACGTTGACACTAAAGCATTCGGAGCTCTGGTCGAATGCTTTAGATTTTTCCAACTTGACGCGTTTCCGGCTGCCCTTCAGTTCGTGCGATGCTAGTATCGCGCGCGCTCGCTTCTGCGGCATGGCTCTCGATTTGCGAGGCTTCTTCCTTTGCGGTGGTAGCCTTCGCACCGTTCGTTTTCTCTGTGAACCTCGTGCCATCGCCCGCTCTGCACTCGGGCTGTACAGGAATTTTCATTTTTCGCTTAATGTGTGCGTCCCTTGGAACGTTCGTTTTGTGATGTACTACGAAAGTGTTGGTGTATACAAGTAAGCATGGTAACGACTCGCGAAGCATAACCTTTTTTATACATCTGGGAGAACAATGTTAATGCAAGGCTGAGTAACTTGAGATTACTTGGTGCTTAATGGTCTGTAGTGGTGCTGCGAAACATTGTCGAAATAACTGGGCAATGCCATAAGCATTAGTGTAAATCAGGGGGAGGGGGTCCGGACCCCCCTTGTATTATGGCTGGGGGTTGGGTGACACCCCTTGCAAACGTACCCCCATTAGGTTTAGCTTTAGCCCAATATACACTTGAGTTAATGGACAGTTCAGCATAGAGCATTGAACTTTTTTTGAGGCTGTTTATTTTTAGTGCTACCTGTGTTCATTACCTACCAGATGTGTGGGACTATGGAAAAAGCGAAAGCCGCTCGATGAGTTCGAAGAAGATTGACTAAAACAATACAGTACTCGCACTTGGACCCCATGCTCGTTTTCTGAATTTTATTTCCAAGCATTATTTAATTGTTGCGTAAATGAAAATACAACCCGTAACAAATGGCCTCCACGATCTCATTTGGGTCCTCCCTTGCAACTTTTCTGCATTTACGCCACTGGCCATAGGTGACAGACAGGCTTTTTTTTACCTGCACGTTTGTTTGTTCTCTGCATTTTACATCTCTAACGGGTGTCATAAACGCTGAAAACACGGTAAGATGAACGTACTTACATAACCATCTACTACACCACCGGTGCCTGGTGCGTTAAATTAGCTGGTTCGCCGTAGGTTACGACAGAAAGTACGAGCTAATGTACACGCGCAGAAAACCTTACGTTAATTCTGCCAAAACCGCATGACGTCATGTGTCGTCTCAGAAAAAAAAAATTGCACGCGGAACATCGGGTACAATTTGATGCAGGAAGGAGCGAACGTTGTCGAGTTCATTTTGACTGATCTTAGCTGATGATGGCAATGTCGATGTGCTTCTGTCGTTGGATCTATACACGAAATGCTCATGTAAAGAGGACTGCGTATACACCACACACACGTACTGACGATTATAAGCAAAAGCACACTCCTCCGACGGGGCACCGATGCTATTCACGAACGCTATTCAATGCATAGTGTGTAAATAACGAACTGTTTATCACAATAGCCTTACCATACACTCGCTTTAGAAAAGTCGCCGTGCACTTGTTTTCGTTGTTTGTGAAAGAAACATTTTCGAAAAAGTTTCATTACGTTGTCTGTGCAAGAACGTTTCTTTCGTGCGGATAAGTCATGTGCAATATATCGTGTACACATTTATTTTTTTGTAACGACCATTTGCGCTACACCCTGAGGCCGATTCACCAGCTTTTCCCCCCCTTGTCTCCTGCAACATCTCTATTCTTACAAATGAATGAATGAATGAATGAATGAACTTCTTCATCATAATTATACTACCATAAAAGTATTAAAACAACAACGTTGATAACTCAATAACAATGCACACCCAGTTGTGCAGGTAAGAGAGAATGATATGGGGCCAACTGGCTGTGCGGAATCATTCTTGCTTTGAAACTTTTCGGACCTAAATAGTAATGCGGTTTAATTCTGCGTATCGGTGAACTTTTTAGAAAAAAAAATGGTATGAAGTTAGGGAAGACATAATGAAGTAGACCGTACGACACTATGGGCATACTGAGAGTTCCTTTTGCGGAGTTCCCATTCAGTTTGCCGGTATTTCTCCGCCTGAATGGTGACGGAACAACTCGACTGCGCAGCTCGATTACAATTAGCGAACGAGCGAAAGCGATCGGAGCCGCGCCAGCTTATCGCCTCTATTAAAACAGTGCCCGCTTCCCGAGCCCGCTTTCTCATTTAGTGGCTGTGCGTGGCGCCTTTCCTCTGGAGAGCTTCACGCGATATTTCTGAGGCACAGCTGTATACCGTGTGGTGGATTCCTTATCGCTCTCATTCGTTTGTTTCTATTCGCTTTTATTTTTGTGAGTCGCTACAGAATTCTATAAATAGAGAGCGGAAGTAGCTTAGCGTGCATGTAAATATCAAAACCAAGGGACATTGTGCATGCGACTACTACTCTTTTTTAGGGGGGGAGAGGGAGTGCAGCCAGGTATGTATAGACGCTTATGATTATGCATTTCCAACGCCTCCGACAGTGTCCTACATACATTGGCCGATAATAATTTCGCTCCATTTTACACCTTAAAAGCCCGAAGGCATTGTGATAAGGGTGGGGCGGGGAGGGTGGGGGCATACACAGGTTTCTAAACAGTTCAATAAATGCAATTGGTAACAAATCAAATCGAACAAAATACAGAGAAGTAATAAATGTAGCATCGGGTACGTTCACAAAGAAAAATTCAACGTGCTATGGTAGGCGCGTATACTGTTAGAAAAATAGCAGGTACACAGGCTTCAAAAATAAAAAAAAATGCATGTAATTGGTAACAAAATAAAAAGGAGAAGGCGAGACAAATGTAACATGCGTACACAAGGCATTTCAATATGCCACAGTAGGTGCCTTTTGTTAGACGAAATGGCAGGTTAGTTTAAAGTACACCGGCCAGCCTTATGCAGTGGAAAGAAGGTTTGGCATGTCACCATGTGACGCAGCAGGAACGAAAAATCGTGGTGGCTTTTGTTGCGGTGTGGGCGGGCATGATGATAATCATAAGAAGAATGGCGGTTTAATCATCCATACCTTAAAATGTCACCAAGATAGCTATATAAATCGTTCTTCATGATTCACTCGTACATTTATAATCTAAAACACATTATGGACAGTGAATATTTCGTTTGTCTGCCCACTGTCACTATGTGGTATTATTATTCTAGCCGTCGTTTACTAGGCGTCGTTTCGTAGCACCGACAGCCACAACCAACTTCACTAGACGTACGTCGTCAATTTGGGTTGCTTCTAACCAGTGCTACATAAACTCTGGGCCAACTCTGATGACGCGTGTTTAAATACGTGCAAAATGCGTAAATATTTTTAGAGACAACCACTGGACCGATTTGAATGAAGCTTGCTTGCTGCTTTTGAGCGAAATAGTTAAGTTATAGCAAGGTTTTATAAGCAGATCTCTATTGATCACTCGGAATTTCTGTAATAGAAAATTAAATTGACAAGTTTGTAACGTTCCATCAAGAGAAGTATAAGTTGTGTGCGTGTGCGTGCGTGTGTGTGTGTGTGTGTGTGTGTGTGTGTGTGTGTGTGTGTGTGTGTGTGTGTTTGTTTGTGTGTGAAGTACATCTGCTATAGCGCTTGAATCGGACAAATTGGGTACAACTACTTACAGATAACGCTAATTTTTTTTCTTCGAAAGTGTTACTCAGTTTAAAAGCACACTTCGTAGCAGTGCATAACACACCGATATTTGTATAATTTAATTTGTATCCGTACACGAATTTCGAAATTGTGACACCGTTTGTCAGTTCCGGCTTATGTTACAAAGTTGTAAAATTCATATGTTCGATTTCTTTTCTTTAATCACGCGTATTTTCATATCTTTAAATAAAAGTAAAGATGTCCGAAACGAAAAGTTCACTTCTGACGGTCACCAGATCATTGTTCTATATTCACTTTTTCATTTATATTCCAGCAAGCCTAATCAAATTTTGTTGATTGCCCTTTACCACTGACAAATGGTCCAAGTGCGCGATGTCAGTGTTACGACATGTTAAAGTGACAGTGAAAATTGCCATAACGTATTAGTATTACGTCACAACCACCCTGTTAACACTTAAAGAAACACTTAACAAAGTTTTTTTTTCGACGTTGCTGTAGGGCAAACAGGCGCGTGAATACAGACACATTTAGTAAGGAACAATGAGAACACAAGATAGATCAGAAATATGTTAAGTTTTTTTTTCAATTTTGTTCAGATAACTGGCCGGTATTTTACAATCTTAAAAGACCAGTGGTGAATGTGATCTTCGAACGTTGCTTTCCCAGCTGTGCATGCTCTTTTGCCATCACGGTGTTTTTTTTGGTATCCATTAAGTTGGCAACGTTCTTCCGGGCTTTATCATGCTGCACAAAACGTGTATATGTAAACATCTTCGGCAGAAGCCTATTTGTCTGCGCAGAATGTTTTGGGGACTAAGCGGGCAAAATGCACGCGGTTGTTGTTCAAGGTGGCCGCTACCTCTCAGAACTGATATTCGGCCGCTTCCTCTGGGGATGGCCCAAAGGATCGCCGACGCGTCCCCCTCCCTCCGCCTTTTTTCTCGCTTTGCTGCAGGCTCCTCCTCTCCATATCATCGCGAAAACTTGGGGTGAGTGCTCAGCGGGCAGTGTCCCTAACGAGCTGTCAATGAATACGCCATTAGCAGGAGGAACAGCGGTGTTTCGAGTTTTCACTAAACTTCAATCAAGTAAAATTTGCACTCGGCGTGTCGCTGCTTTAATTTTTTTTAGTTCCGTTTGCTCTCACTAATGAAGAATGTTTTGGAAAATACACGGCCCCTCCTTCTTCCCCGCTCCGTTTCTCGGGGCCTTTCTTTCTTCCTCCTCGCCAGAGGGGAAATATCATCGCTCAGCATGAAGTTTGTGTTTACTAGATGCTGCGCCGTGTCGCCTGTAGGCAGACAGAAATTAGGTGCCTTCTTCCTTTTCCTCATGAACCACTACCACCACCACTAGAAGGCGACTGAATTTGCTGTTTCTTTTGTATTTGTAGTTTTCCTTCTTTTTGACTGCGCACTACTCCCTCACGCTTTACAAAGTCTCCAACGTAATGTTCTCTTGCCTTTCGCGTATGCTGCCACCCTAGTGAAGTAGAAGTGAGAATCAACCTGAACGTATTCCTGAATCTCCCAACGTGATATGCGCGTAAATGACAGCGCACACACACACACACACACACACACACACACACACATATATATATATATATATCCGACCCGCAAGGCATTCTGCATGACAGTCAAGTATTCTACAGCAGAGCCATGCCTAGTCTCTAAACTGCTTTGGAAAGAACTTCAATTGTGCTTGCAGAGCTGGTTATGTTCATTTTATAAACACTTTATTTGTACTCCCATGATACAGACGTCTCGTAGGGTTAACGTCATTCGTACACTAAAACGCCATCCGCAGAAGTTGATCTACGTAGTATTATCCTCGGCTACCATCTTCGCAAGCACAAGCACTACATGGCAGCTTACCGCTTCTAGTATATTTTTGATACCCATGTTGCTGTTGGCATCGTTACGCAATTCTAAAAATCTGGTTATCTAAGACGTGCGTGATTGTTAAACATTTATACATATATTATGCTTCAATTTCCTAATGTTTCGCTCAATAAAAAAAAATTACCCCACAGCCACCTATTCTCCGCGTGCTTCTCACAGCGTCGATTCTCATATGGTACGCGGTATCTACCAAATTTGCGCATGCATATGAGTATTCCATATATCAAACTACAAAGTGCATTGCCAGTCTTGCTGCCCTTGTCAGCATGCAACATAACTTTCTTTATTTCACCAACTACGTCAGGAACGCAGCTTGTCTTGCACAAAACAGCTGTGCTGTACCGTTCGTGGCAGATTATGATGCGTTTAAAGGAGTATACTGACGCGGATTCAAAATATTTTCGGGTCTCTAAATAAGAACGTGGATGCCGAGAATCCTAAAAAGAATGTTGTATAGTTTAGAACTGCACTGAATTTTTTTTTTCAATACCTCTAGCTGAAAACGGCAATTCCGGTATTGGTATCGCGCTGAGTGGCTTCGTAGTGACGTGCCAGCTCAAGTGTGGCTTCACGAGAAGACTACAACCCGCGACGTTCAAGCGACAGCTGTCAATTGGCTGTCAGTCACACGTGCTTCGCGTGAAAAAACGACGAGCGAATTGTCGTTCAGAGACTCTGACAGCAATTTCTGCGATTTAGGCCGCGTGCAGGTCACCAAGTTCCCAAACCTATAGTGAACTCAGTTGGCTTCTCGAGATGATGTCAGTTGAGGTAGAGCTGTCTTGTAGATGCTGGTCGATGAAGATTTTAAAATAAAAAAATATATTTTTACTCGTCTGGCTCCTGCGTGCGGAGAACGTTGTTAGTGTGCGGCGTGGGAAATAAGAATGTTCCTTTTGGGATGCCTCACAATGGCGTCAGCACTCTTGTAAAGTAGAGAAGCTGAACGTTATTGCGACGATAGTAAGCGCGCACAATTTCTTTATATTTTATTTTAAAAAACAAAAACAAAATGAGGATAACATAGGGGGAGGTGACTATACTTCTAAAATCTGAACCAATATGTTTGAGGTTTAACGACGAAAGGAAAGTTCTGAGGGCTCGCTTGGATCCCTGTTTGACGCAACGTTAATGAAAGTCAGCAGATAACAAAACCAAGAACGCTACAGTCATCTCTGGTGTTTTAAGTGTATCGAACTAATTGCCATATGGATATGTGGCAAGTGAGGTAAACGAAAAGGCAACTCACCGCTGGCAGTAATCCAACCTCTTTTTTTGTGTGTAAATCACCCTGCAGTAATGACACTATGGCGTTGCAGGAACTCTGTAGTTAAAAAAAAAAAACCTTGGGATTAGGCGCCTGATGCTCTGATCATGAGCTATGATAGCGCTCGTCTCCTAGTCCACTTTTGGCGGGTACTCACGTGCATGCAAACCCGGAAAGTCGCGGCACAAATGGGGTTTTGTAGCTTTGCTACAAAGCTCCAAAGCTTCATTTGAAAGTTGCATCGTTGACGAGGAGCTTACGTTTCTCTGTGCTTCAACTGGAAACGTCAACAAAACAGCGGTTTAATATAGTTTTGTTAGCGAAATTTATTGCGTCGGTTTTTGTTGCTTTGGTAGTATTGCACTTCGCACCACGACATTGTCATTGTTTTTTTTTTGCTACGCAACTTTTAACTGGCCAAATTAAGGCTTGGATGTGTTATTATTATGACTTTCAGTTATTTGTTGCCTATCTACTTCAACTTTACTGATGTTGCAAGCTCATATAACGACTTGGAACGCTTTCATTTCTAACTACAGCTCGAATGTAGTCGCAAACGTTATGCGCCTTCAGAAGTGCGGAGCGTTTCTTGTGTCACGGTCCCGTACTTTGTAAATTGGAGTAATAACTCTGTGCGTAGCATGAGCGGAAGCCACATTCTGTCCCTGAATAGAAACCATTGTTTGGCGGCGTGCGCACTTGGAATAGTTTCCTCCTTACTTCGCGTGATGCGCTTGAGCGCCATAGACGCAAAAGCAAGAAGTGCCTGTTGCGCAAATTTGTGAAGAGTGCGAGCACGAAGACGTTATGCAAACGGTATAAAATGTCTGGAAAACGACGAGAATTCGGGTTAAGAAACAATCGAGCAACTTCTCGGGAAAAAAGAGGGGGGGGGAGCCATGGAGGGAAGGGACCGCTGAGGCTCTGGTATTCAACATAAATAATTCAAACGTGGATGAGAAATGTTGTTTGCTTTAGTAAATATGTACTTTTTTTCACCGTCTGTGCGCAACTGTGTTTAATAAATCATAAGATGCATTTAAAACGGTAATTTTGTAAATTGGTCGTTGCCTTAAGGAATTCCAATGAATAAATAAATGCCACTCGGTTGCCTTTGAGTCGCCGCTGGCATTTTGTGGTGAAAGTCACGAATATAAATGAATGTTTCAAAAGAGGGGCCGAAATCCAAAGCGAGTCACGACGGAAAGAATGTGCTTCAGAAAACGTTTTTACAAACTAAACTAGCCGTCAGAATTTATGACAGTACAGTCGTTTAGTCTTTGCTAACATGTTTGCTAAAAGCTAAGAGCTCAAATTCGCTTGCATACTAAGAAAAAAAAAGAAAGTGGAGGTGATGGGTGGGATATTTGTTAATCCTTTCGGTCAGTACTGGGTTCCCACGTATACGACCCCTTAAGGGAGACATGTTAACTCTGTTTTGGATCAAACGACACCCCGACGATAGTATATCGATCCCCAGAGACAGTTCACGTGCCTCTTTGAAGAGAGTCATATGGTATGTGGCCAGTCAGGAATCATAACAAAAAAGGACTCTTTTTTTTTTCACGAAGAGAGGGTGTCGGAGGGTGCTAGTATAAGTAGGACATTGTTACGTGAACTTAAACTGCGTTTCCCACGAGGCCCCACAGCATAAGCAGGCATACTTCTACTCATGGTGTATCTCACGCCACGGTTGTGCATAGTGGTTATGGGGCTGCACTGCTGACCCGAAGGTCGTGGAATCAATCAATCAATAAATCCAGTCAGTCAGTAAGTAAGCCAATCAATCAATCAACCAATCAATCAAGTTCAAACATGTTCTTCAACTGTTCTGTATCTTAAGCTAAGATGTCGTTTAACGATTATATAACTCTGCCTCTTGTCTGTACATTTGTGCTCGTATAGTTGCATGGATCCAAACTAGAATTGTGTGGTACATATCCAGATGTTCCTCACAAGTTCCCGTTTTACCGTATTTCATTTAATAAAGTGTAGTGTTCACAGTTCAAAGATAAACTTGGCCCACGAATATCATGTTAAACTCGCCGCCTGTTGGGCGAATGGCAACAGTATACCCAAACTCATAGTTGCTAACTAAACGTAGCAAACATCAGATCGCTGCTAATTGAAATGAGCGGGCGCACCTAAAACAAGCATATACGTTGTGGTGGTGAAAACATTTATTAGGCCTTAACACGGACACGTGGTGGGCTGAGACGATACCGGAGGCTTCATAAACGATTGTGCGATGGAACGACTGCAGGGAATTAAGAAAAAAACTTAATCACTAATTTAGCAAAACTATCTAATATACACACTCGACGACATAAGGGAGCTTTCGAATAGCGTTCTGTAAGCTAGCTGGCGTTGCGGGAGTAGCGTTTGCGTATGGGTTCCATGTGAGTTGTCGAAAATAAAGATTAGAATGAAAGGCAGTCTTATAAAATCAGCTCTCCAGCAGTGCTTCGTTGCGCAATACTGACTGAACTGTCTGTCAGCACCGATCTTAAGCTAATTAACGAAAACTTACATAACGACATGCAAAGCCATTTAGCGGCACTGCAGAAACGCACGTGTCACGTGATTTACTTCTCGAGTGAATTAGCGAAATCTTCTATAACGACGACCAAAAACGTGTATATTTAGTGCCTGCTTCATTGGTGAAGGAGCAGCAAACTTGCAGCATGCTTGATTAGTGAACGAGCAGCAGAATAAGTGACGGAGCAGCAAACGCTTGTACAATGCAAAGTCAGTGAGCATGACAGAGACCAACGCGTATACGATCAGTGATAAGCAGGAAAATGTCTTCAACAAATTGAGTCGTATGATAAAAATGCAGCACCTGGCTTCTATTATACACTTCCTTTCTCGACCTTCACCACCCCGCATCCCTCTTCTCCAATGCATGGTAGCAAACCGGGTGTGCGTCTGGTTAACTTCCCGGCCTTTCTTTGCATCTCTCCCGCTTTCTCTCTCTGCTAACCCGTGAAATTTATCAGCCTCCTGAGACGAGAGAAATGCACAAACAGTCAATGAATAAATGAATGAAATTGTCGTGCAAGAAATGCCACCGGACCCAACTTTACGTCAGTAAGCTTCGAAAAACAACTTCCCTCGCCGCAATGTCAGCTGTCTGGTATTCCCTGTTTGACAACTTCTCACCAGTGCAAGCAACCATCTATTTTTAATTTTTTTTCATGGCTTTCAGGATTGACCCAACTATGCTATAAAGTCGCTGAAGTCAAGATTTTGATAATATGGAGTCGTCTGCGTGCTGCCTTCTCCTCGCGTTCGAACATTGGCTATAAAAGCGGTCCAATTATTCGAAGACTTTTCATCATTTAGCGTACGTGGTTGCCGATTTCAGGGGTAGCGAGTTCAAATCCTGTGCGTTTGTAGCAAGCTTTCTTAAGCTTATTGCTAAATGTGGTGTCTAGAGATGGATCGTCATCACATGCGCGTATAAACCTCCGGGTGTTGAAGAAGTCTACCACGAACCGAAAATGGTTCTTGCAAGAATAACGACCGCTGATTCCTTGAGCAGTATCGCGAAGGAGCAACTCTTCCTAAGGAGAGCAACCACACCCGTCCGAGTGGCATAGTGGCCATGGTGCTCGATTGCTGACCCAAAGGTCGTGGTGCCGAATCCCCGCCGCGGCGGCCGCATTTTCGGCGGTGGCGAAAAATGCTTCCAGCCCATTTCCAGAGCCCTTCACTGCGGTGTTCCCAACATTCATATCGCGGTTTGGGGACATGGAAATCATACAATTATTAAATATAAATAGTACCCTCAGAGGAAGGGGTGACTGTTCTTTCTAACTGTTCTTACTGAATTGGAGTGCTCTCTTTCACAAGTACCCTACTTCCTCATTTACTTTTCAGTGTGTTTTTTAGGGGTGAAGCTCCTTGTGGTCTAGGGATAGTCCATCCCTCAGGCGTAGCCAGCACAGCTAGGGTATCCACAGACGGACAGACGGATGGGTGGACGGACGAACGCTCCACTCATCATCATTCACTCCATGAATACGCTGCGATTTTTTCCTTGGACGTATCCCTTGTTTGAACCCAACTGTACAATAACCTAATTATATTGGGTCATCTTGGATTGTTATCCCTTTAATTTCGTTCTTCCATCCCGAAACGGTAAAGGGGAGGTCCTGCGTGCGGTCGGCGGGGATTCATTGCGGGATTCGGAGGAAACCGTGCTCCTGATTCAGCCCAGCGGTGCCGCCGCCGCTCGGCAGGCCGTGGTCGGCATCGACTGCTCCACGCACACAGTCACGTGCCTCCTCGCACTGCGTCAGAAAGGGGAGCCGCGCTTCTTGAAGTATATACACGACAACGCCGCCGCC